TTAAAACAAACCAAAGGAAGTATTTTTCCACAGGTTGACTCTGTGTTGTGTGAAACTCCTTGCCAGAGGATGGTGTGAAGGCCAAGACTATAACAGGGTTCAGAGAAGAGCTAGATAAGTTCATGGAGGATAGGACCATCAAAGGCTATTAGCCAAGATGGGCAGGGATGGTGTCCCTAGCCTCTGTTTGCCAGAAGCTGTGAATGGGCAACATGGGCTGGATCACTTGATGATTCCCTGTTCTGTTCATTCCCTTTGGGGCACCTGGCACTGTCCGCTGTTGGAAAACAGGATACTGGGCTAGATGGACCTTTGGTCTAACCCAGTATGGCCGGTCTTATGTTCACCTGCCCAATTTTTTAAAGTGCTTTGAAGTCTGAAGAGGAAAGAGGCTAGATAGGAGGGAAATATTGGTTTTTTTTAAGTGCTCGCTAATTGACAAGCTAAATCCAGTTTCATGTTTGATTCTTGGAAGCTGAGTGCATTGCTCAGTGTTTGCATCATGGCATTTCTGATCCTGCCCAGTGGTTACTGACTCAGGAATCAGCAATGGTTTTCCACTCCCAGAGTCATTAAAAATTCCCTTAGCCCCAGGCTGCTGATTCTCCAAAGTGAGATCAGTGAGATAAATCAGCTGAGATAATAGGCTAAGTGGCTCCTGGTGTGTGCGAGCCCCTCCCAGCTTCCCACTGTCTGTGCTGTGCTGTAACAGGTTCAGCCCATCTCTGCAGAGTGTCAAACACAACATTGTGCAGGTCCTTGGCAGTCACCCTTGAAAGAGACAACAGACTCATATAGATACCCGATCAATTGGCTGGGGAAAAGATGCTTAGAATTACAGCAGATCCTGGATGGAATAGCCAAAATGTCTCCAAACTCTTACAAGGCCCATCTGTCAAAACGGCAAATCCCAGCTCAGACCTCTTTTGGTTTGGAGCGTAAAATGGGCTTGCATATTTGCTAGAGATCACACAAGAAAGATTCGAATTGGGCAGTGCTGTCAGACTTTTAAAAAGGAGCGTGGTTTCAGAATGGAAACAAGCTCCTTTATATGGAGCGGGGTTTGGATTCAGTTGCTGGACCGCTTTCCCAGCCCTACCATGTGCTGAGAAATCATCTCCCTTCCCCACCTCCTGGACTCTGCTCCAGGACCCTTTGATTGACACGTTTTCGCTTTCGCACAGGATCCTGGATTTCCGACGGGTCCCGCCCACGATCGGAAAGTTGATCAACGTCACCAAGGACATCCTGGAGGTCACCAAGAATGAAATCCTACAGAGCGTCTTCTTCGTTTCACCCGGTATGTGGGTGAAGGTGCAGAAGCGAGTTCCTTTTACGAATACATTCCTCAGTACCAAGCTGATGGGGAAAGAGGTGTACACAGGAAAAGTCCAGAGGAAGTGTGTGCTAGATGCTGCATTGGAGAGATCAAACTCGGCATGACACATGTTTATGATAATACCTCTATAGCGTCTTCCACTTAGGGTGACCAGACAGCAACTGTGAAAATCGGGACAGGGGGTGGGGGGTAATAGGAGTGTATATAAGAAAAAGACCCCAAAATCGGGACTGTCCCTATAAAATCGGGACATCTGGTCACCCTACTTCCACCGAATCAGGGCTGTGTAGTGAATGAGGCTGTTGTGTTTAGCGCCCCTGTCTCATTTGTGGCAGAAGATGGAAGGTGTGTGGTGAATGAGACAGGAAGAGAAAGGATGATCCCATGGTTAAGGCAGTGGAATGCTGGGCTGGAAAACTGGATTCTATCCACGTAATTAAAGACTGTATTGTAATGCACATGCACAAGGGGGCTGAATTAAGCACAGGCAACTCTAAATCTGGCATCTCCTAACTTCTGAGTACTTGACTTGGCAACCTTAATAATGTTCTGTTAGCGTGGCTTGGTGTGTGTAACATTATTATGTAGCTAGTTAGAAATGAAGTGGGGAATAACAGGTGGGCTATACCCACCACTCACACTCAGATTCCATCCTGTAGAGGGCAGTGGTGTGTGTGTGTGTGTGTGTCTCTCTCTGACGTTATGACTTGCAGTCTTTTCAACAGGTAGAGAGGTAAATCCTCAGCTAATGTAAATTGTTATAAGCTCCATTGACTTCAATTTACACCAGCTGAGGATCTGGTCCAGAGACTGTTTTGCTTCCATCATTTGCAACTTTCCTACAGGATTTATTCCCCTTCCAGGGGCACCGGAACAAGGGGGACCAGAGGGTCATGGCTCCATCACTTTTTACTGTCCGTAAGGGTGAGGGGGCGGAGAGGAGCGAGTAGGGGGTGGAATCTTGGAAGAGGCAGCGCAGGGGCAGGGACAGGGGCTCGGGGAGAAGGGGGCGGGGTTCAGGCACCAGTAACCCCTCACTTTTAAGGAGCGTCCGCCACTCCTGCCCCTCACAAGCACACACACAGAGACATAAGCCAGTGCTGTATGCAGTTGACTACAGCTAATGCTACAGCACACCGTAACGAATCGGTGGCCATCTAGGACTTCCTGTTACAATGCTAAATATCATGGCCACTCAGAACTGCCTGGCAACACTGAGATCTTCCTGATGCCTAAACACCACTTCCAGCACCTGAGTTAAAGGTGAATCTCCATTGGGTGGTGGCAGTGTAGGGCCTATGACCCAAAGCAGAGCCATTCCAACCCCACCCAGCAGTGGTGCACGTATACAGTAGCCAATTCATTATATTAACTAGCTGGTTCTCCATTCTTCCCACAGCCAGCAACGTGTGTTTCTTTGCGAAGTGCCCGTACATGTGCAAGACGGAGTACGCTGTGTGTGGGAACCCTCACCTGCTGGAGGGATCCCTCTCCGCTTTCCTGCCGTCCCTCAATCTGGCCCCGAGACTCTCCATCCCAAACCCCTGGATCCGGTCCTACTCGTTTGCTGGAAAAGAGGAGTAAGTGGGTAAATGCTGCAGCTCTGTGCGGTGGAAGGAGGCAGAAGAGTAGCAAGAAGGGGGCAGGTGATCATGCACGGGGGGAGGAGCAGAGGCCAAGACCCAGAGGCTGCCTGCATGGAGCCTACCAGCTCCTGATGCCTGGGCCTGGTGCAGAATCTCTCCCCTCCCCTCTCTGGCTGCTGCTATTAGGATGGTTTGAACTCAGCCGAAGGGGAGTGCGGATTGGGGGATATTGCTGCTGTGGCCGAGAGACAAGCAAATCTGCCAAACAGGATAGCCAGCTAAATGTGCCAGGCACTGAGAAGCAGTGTGGGCCAAACTCAGCCCCGGTGGAAGCAGCTGGCACTCGTCAGCAGAGCCGCTGCTGCTCATGCCAGCCTTGAATCCAGCCCTTGGCATCTCAACGCTGCCCATTCTCCGGGCTCACAGAGTCGTGGCAAGGCAGAGCTGGCCGGAGCAGCCCCGATCACATCCCTGCCTTCGAGTGGCTCCCGGAGGATGTGTTTGAGAAGCCGCCTTGCGTTCACGCTTCCCCTCTGTTTCCTGTAGGTGGGAAGTGAATCCACTTTACTGCGACACGGTGAGGGAGATTTACCCCTACAACAGCGGCAACCGGCTGCTCAATATCATCGACATGGCCATATTTGACTTCCTGATAGGTATGATGGACAGAATAATAATGAGCTCCTGCTCCCTCCCTTCATCTCCTTCACCTCCTCCCTTCATCTCGTGTCTTTCTTCCCTTCCCCCCCCCCGACCCCCCCAGTAATTCTCAAGGACACTCAGTGCCTCAGAAGCCAGTTTTCCAAATCTTACTCTTGCTCTGTAGAGAAGATTTGAGAGACTCGCTGTCTTCAAGGCTCCCTTCTCATACCGCAAGCACACAATGCCCAGCCAACACACAGCCCCTCGGTGACCCTCTGGACACAGGCAGTGCTTAATTTGTAATGAACAAGGTGCCGGGGCTCACGCAGATTTTTTACATTCATAACTGACACAGCAAGCCCAGAGGTGCCGGGGCTACGAACTGCCACGCCCAGAGGTGCCGGGGCTACGAACTGCCGAGCCCAGAGGTGCTGGGGCTACGAACTGCCGAGCCCAGAGGTGCTGGGGCTACGAACTGCCGAGCCCAGACGTGCCGGGGCTACAAACTGCCGAGCCCAGACGTGCCGGGGCTACAAACTGCCGAGCCCAGACGTGCCGGGGCTACGAACTGCCGAGCCCAGAGGTGCCGGGGCGCAAGGGCTAAGGCAGTGGTTTTCATTATCTTTCTTTAGCGGAGCTGCCTTTGCAATAGCCTCGGTGGGTACATGTCTCCTCAGCTCATCTCTGCTTTATCAGCTCCCCTCCCTGGCTCTCTTTCCTACCCATCATTGTCCCCTGGGTATTTCTCTTGCTTAATTTTGTCGCTCTCCTGTTTGGTGGCGTCCCCTCCCCTGCTCAGCGGGTGGCAGTTGATTCGCAGTGGGGCCAGAGAGCACAGAAGCACGAGAAGGTCGCTGCAGGCTGACCCGTGTGAGCTGTGCTAGGGCAGCGACAGGAGCTCGGGGATGGGGGCCAAGCAAAGGAGGGTAAGCTTTCGTGTTTGCAGTACAGGATCCACCATCCCTCTGCAGTCTTTCCCCTTGTGGTCTTGTCTCACTAATCAGACCCTGGCTGCCAGGTTGAGGTCAACTGACGTAGAAGTTTATAAGAGGCGCCAATATCCTTTCATCCAGGAATTTCTATGCCCTCATCACTATAATACCTGAGCGCCCTTGGCATAGACAGATGTCCATCTTCCACTCACCTTACAGGAGGAAGATCCAGGAAAGGGAGCCTGACCTAGCAAAAAAACAAATCCTGGAGTTAGCAGTTCTGGGGTTCATCCCCTTAGGTGTCTCATTTCACCTCACTCTGTGCCTCAGTTTTCCCATCTGTAAAATGGAGTTAATCTCTCATAGATTCTGAGACACTGTGGTGATGAGGGTCATATAAGCACCTCACTAGCCAGCAGGGAGGTAATTTCATTACTGCTAGTAAAGCACTTTGAGATGAGATCCTGGGATTGGGGGTACTAGGGGAGAGCAGACTATTACTACTGTCAGGTAACTCCAGGCCTCCTGACTCACAACTGGTGTTGCACAAATATCCCACCCCTAGCCAGGTAACCCTTGCTCAGTGCGGGCCTGAAGAATGACATAGCAGCAGAGTTTTCCCCCTGGCCAGTTCAAAGGGGTACTCAGTCACTGCTCAGTGCATGGCAAGAGCAATATGTTCTCTTTCGCTCTCTCTCCAAAGGGAACATGGACCGTCATCACTATGAAATGTTCACTAAGTTCGGGGATGAAGGCTTCCTCATTCATCTGGACAATGCCAGAGGGTAAGGCACGCACCCCAGCAATGACTTTTGGGGCACCTGGAATGTGAGATGGAGACACAAAGGGGGGCTGAGTGCCGGGGGGCCTGGGAGTAGGCAGAGAGTGCTGGGGGTCAGATTGTGCTGGGGGGACGTAAGTGGGGCCCAATGAAGCTGGGAGGTGGGCAGATAGTCCAGTGGTTCAAAAGGGCAGATGATGCTGGGGCCATGGGAGGGGGCAGGCCTCAGGTGGCGCTGCCTATGAGTGACTTGATCTCTGCCCTGACATCCTGGAATGTGTATCTACATTTACTTTGGGAGAAGAATTTGTTGCCCAGGAAAATGAAGGGCGTACTGCCCAGGCACGCACAATGGGGATACGGCCTGCCCCTGCACAGCACGCTCTAACCTGTAACATCCCTGCTCCTGCAGGTCCTGGCATCTCAGCCTTTCCAGCATGCCCCATGGCCAGTTTTGTTTCATTCTGTTATGTGAACCAAGGAGCAAGGGTCTGATCCAGCCCCGGTGTTGAGTGCCTCCTCTGAACACTTCTCAGATAGGATCGGACCCTCTAATCACAGCTTTGTGCCTGGAGCATTGGTGGTAGCAGCGGTTCACCCTTGCCTTCGTTTGTCCCCTAGCTTTGGAAGACATTCCCATGATGAAACCTCCATCCTGGCGCCGCTCTCCCAGTGCTGCATGTAAGTGAGATGGCAAGCTTGGTTAATTGTACTTGCTAGCCAGTCATGCTAGGGTAGTCACCTGCATTACCCCAGGGGAGTCTGGGAAGAGAGCTGAGACATTATTATACCATTATGCCCTACACGAGTATAGGATTCTATAGTGTTACCCCGCACAGTACCATGCTCTACAATGCTGCAATATACTATAGCGCAGTGGTCACCAACCGGTGGATCGTGATTGACTGGTTGATCCTGGAACCTCTGACCGTCGATCGCGATCTCCGGCTGCTAAAAGTCCAGTAGCGCAGCGGGGCTAAGGCAGGCTCCCTGCCTGCCCCGGCCTTGCGTGCTGAGCCCTGGAGGTGGCCAGCACACCCCGACGGTGGCGCAGCCCCTGGCGGGGGACGAGGGGGAGGGGAGGGTGAATTTCAGACCCCATTCTTTAGAAGCCTACCCGTAACACTCGGACCATCTCTGTCTTTTAAAGGCCTGGGAGAATGCTGATATAGTTAATCAGTCTAGTTTCCCCCTCTCCAAGTTATTAAAAAGTGCTCGTACATTTTACTCTTTGAATCCTATCTCAGCTACTCCCTTATTAATTCACGTAAATCAACAGCTGAAAATTAAATTTAAGAGCCACAGTGAGCGCTGCCGTTCCCTGTGGTTTTTCTTTAGGAAACATTTAACCTATTTCTTTACCATTCGTGCACTTGTATTAGCCGGGTCAAATGTTAAAAGCCGCTATTGGACCTAGCGAGACTTTTAATTTACAGTCTGATGATTTCAGTAAATCCTTCCCATGGATTTCTATTCTGTGTGGTTGAAATTAACTACACCTCACCGGTTGGCCAGACCTGCAATATCTTCACAACTCCATCAGCCACGGGGCATTTTTAATTTGGTTCCTTTGTAAAATGTAGTGGGTACAAGACCTACCTTCTAGGAGCCAACTAATTGCATCATAGAGTAAGAAAGCAACTCAAGCACCTGCCAGGATACATACCCATTGTGTCTTCTATTTTATTAAAGAGAATAAAATGGCTCTCTAGGAAAGCACAAAAGTGACAGTCAGACCTCTTAGGGCCAGAATGCTTCCTTCTGATCATCTAGTCCAGTGCTTCCCAAACTGGGGTTCGTGAAATGTTACAGGGGGTTCTTGGGAAAAAAATCCCGAATGGCGGACAAAGCTGTCCCTAGGGACCCTGGGCAGCACGGGGCAAGCAGCCCGGAGCCCCTGGACTTCCAAGAGCTAAGCAGATCAAAGCAAGCATATCTATCACACTGAGGAGATTTAAACTTCAAGATTCCTTATAAGAAATGGAAAGGGGGGTGGATATTTTTTGTTGTTTTTAAAATTAAACAGGCAGCTAGCATTGTTTTTAAAATTATGAAGAACAAGTTTAAGCTTTGTTGTAACGTGCGTTGTTTGCCTGGACTGCTCAAGCCCTGAATGCTTGTGTAGGAGGAACTCTTTGAGGTGGTTTCTTAAATACTTTCATGCTGTTTCATATCTGATACTCCAAGGAGCCTTGTCTTATAACAGGCTTATTCAAAGTGATACAAGCTACGAAAGTGAGATCTTGGAAGAGTATTGCTGTTTTCATAATGTAATAAAAATACTGTAATCATAAATAATAATTGACAATAAGTAGTGTGTAATAAGCATATCAAAAATGAATGTTTCCAGAAATTTTCTCCTTTACTGGAGTATAAATTATAAAAGCAGTGATCTTGGAAATATAAAATTTGTTTTTATATTTCCAAGATCACGGCTTTTGTAATTTATACTACGGTAAAGGAGAATCTTTCTGGAAACATTCCTTTTTAGGAGGGGGCTTGCGAGACTTGACATTTTAGTGAAAGGGGTTCACAGGCTGTTAAAGTTTGGGAACCACTGGTCTAGTCGGATTTCCTGTAGAACATAGGCCAGAGAATTTCACCCACTCCTTCCTGCATGAAGCCGAAGAACTTGTGGTTCCACTAGAGCATAAGCCATATCCTCAAGATAGAGTAAAATCTACTGATTTCAGGGCCAATTTAACCCAGCTGAGACACTGGCCCAGCTTTAAAGACATCCTTCTGGACTTAATGACTCTAATGGAGAAGCTACCAGCTCCCTTAACCAGCTGCACCAAAGTCCAGTCCCCTTCACCGTTAAACATTAACATCTTATTTCCCCTTTGAGTTTTTTCAAACTTCAGCTTTGCGTTGTGCCTTTGTCGATTAGACTAAAGAGCCTGCTCGAGTCAGGTAAAGGTATTTATACACATAGGTCAAGATATGCTCTACTCCAAGATGTTGCTGTTACTATCACTTACAAATTGCCCTCAGTGTTTTTATAGCTATATAGCAAAAGAGGTTCCTTGTCCTAGCTCAAAAAATCTAAAGCTAAGCAGAGAGAAGACAGAGTGGTACTTGGCTACCTTGCAGGGCTTCTCCTGGTTGGTAAAGTGCCTAGAGGTTCTTGGCTCAAATCTCATATAGCCACGCAAACATGTATCATTGCTACACTTCTGTTACATTACATACTGCAAAATTTTAAAGGAACTGAGGCCTGGTCTACCCTTGGGGGGGGGGGGGTTGAGGGGAGAATCAATCTAAGTTACACAACTTCAGCTAAGTGAATAATGTAGCTGAAGTTGACGTACTTAGATCTACTTACCGCAGGGTCTTCACTGCGGTAGGTCGAATGCTGACACTCCCCCGTCAACTCCGCCTATGCTTCCCCAAATCAACAGGAGACCGCCTGATTTATCGTGTCTTCACTAGACGTGATAAATCGACCCCCACTGGAGGTAAGTGTAGACATGCCCTGAGTGTTCTGCAACTCTGTCCATTTCCATCTAAACACCACTTTGTCAAAAATACTTTGACAAAAAAAAAAATTTATGAAACCCATTCTAGCCGTCATCCACTAGCAAATTACTGGGCTGACAGCAGCTTACTGCTGGGAGGATACGAGTTGGTGTAAGAGTCTGACCCGAGTCCTTGTTTTCCCAGAATAAAGAGGACAACATTATTACACCTGCAGCTCCTGGCCCTGCCTGAGTACCGGCTCAGTGATGTCATGAGGGAATCCCTCCTGCTGGATCACCTTGCACCTGTCCTCACTGAACCTCACCTCTTGGCTTTGGACAGACGGTTGTGGCTCATCCTGAAGACCGTGGGGAAATGCATAGATGCACATGGAGAAGACAAGGTTGTGGCCAATGACACCAAGCAGCTGGAAGTGCCCTTTTTTGACAGAGTGACACCAACCAGCTAGAGCCTTAAATTCTTTAGGGGGCAGAGAAGAGCCCCTGGGAGCCAGCAGATGAACTTTAATTGCTAATAATTTTCACCCACACAAGCCTGTTGGATTGAGAGGGGAGGCTCTTTGGAAGGGCTCAGATTCTTACTGGGCTTTTATGGTGATTGCCCCACTAAAGCTTCAGTGCATGGGGTAAACTTTTGCCAAGTACATTTGCAGGCCAGGGCCTGACCACTACACTCATTCCATGAGCTGCTGTCCTTCAGTGGAGCAGCACAGACTCATCTGCTCTGTAACTGCAGGGCATGCCACTGGTAAGAGCCTGGGCATTGGCTTGGTGTACCTGCCCAGGAGCTGCGTCCTGTCCTTGAGACGTCCCAAAACTGGATCCAAGAATGAAGCTGGAATAAAGCAATGCTGAAGGGAGAACGTGCTTAGCAGGGCCAGGTTCTGTAAGAGAGTTCATGCCTTTGGGTCAAAGTGGCCTTCATCACTGCAAGCTAGGGCAGCATCTGTCACTTTAAAGTCAAGAAGGCACATGGGGCCAGCTCAGCACCACCTGTCTACTATTCACGCAATCAGAAACACCTCCATCAGCCTTGGGTAAAATGACAAGCAGCTCCAGGTGAGCTGCGTGTCACAAGGCCCACTTCACAGAGCCAAAGATTTGAGTTTTTCAGCTGGTGTTATGGGGGTGGGGAGGAAGAGAAATCATGCTGTGGGTTGTAAAGGACAGGCAATTTAGCATTCATATTATTTAGGCCCCTGCAGTGCAGTTCTGCAAAAGATAAAGAGCTTGACAAAGATGCAGCACTGTTAAATCCACTCAGCCAAGAACTGGGCTGCTAAGCAAGGGGCTCTCTCTCAGGTTAACGTAGGCACAGAATAACAGCGTTAAAAACCAACATTTATTTAAGCAGTTGTAAAGCAGTCCATCAGAACACAGTGGACGCTAGCAACAGATTGATTCTCTCTAGCACCTCTGCAGATTTCAAAAAGTATCGTAGGAACTGGAGACCAAAACCAAACATGCCAGCTCCTCAAAAGGCCTTAAGATAAGCTATCCTCTTCCCCTTGCCTCCCTAAGAGGAGGCTTAAAAATAGTTTGCTAATTGAACCTTTACCAACTGGTTCCATTTTTTAAGTGTTCAGAATGATAGAGCTGAGCTTTTTTAGTAGCCTAATGAAAGCAGTTGAGAACTTGAGTTATTTTCCAATGATTTGTGCCAAATTATCACCACCACTGTCTTCTGGGGTGTGCTTGATAGAACGTTTGACACCTGTCAGCTGAGAATTTGACTCAGATTGTATTTGATGCATTAAACCTTTACAAACGAGACACATGGATTTCAACTAGAGTTCTTAACCAGCTTTCAGCAAGCTGCCTCAGCATTATAGTTTTGTTGCTAGCTGAAGTTTGCCATTTTAAGCCAGTGAGTTTTCAGTAGCGATAATGGGTGCAAAATGAAGATTAACCTCAACTCTAGCTTAGTCAAGTCTGTCCCCATCCCACCTACCCTCCCCAAGGGACTATACTTTAAATTTACCTAACTCCAGAATTATTTTTAAATTGGCTGTCAACATACTATAACAGGTCCTCAGCAAACTGCAATTATCCTTTGGAGTAATCAGAGTAGTGTTTTGGCAAAGCTAACATCCTCTCAATGATTCTGTGGCAATTAGCGAGTGGTAAATCTTTGCTTCCCTTCTCTAGGTTAGCAAGACCGATCCCCAGTTGTTTTTCTGTTTGAGGAAGTTTGATTTGTTTTGTCTTTCATTAAAGATTCCTCCAATATTTTAATGTAATAAAGATAAGAAACCAAAGAATAGGTGACTGGCTTGAGTCTTAATTCCATCAAGTGTTTCCACTTTTCTACCAAAGCAACTCTCTGTATTAAGCAGTTAACTAGTTCTCTATTTTCAGAGCTCAAAAGAGCTCTGCATACTCGTGGGGGTTCCCTGCTCTCCTTTACATTGATTCTAGTAGAGCAGAGAATGGATTAAAATAAATGGACTTGAGAGATTTAGCTTGCAATGTAGTTTAGTTATTTCAATGCATGTCTTGATGTTCCCAAAGTCAGATCTCCCTCTACTGGTGATTTTAGTGCAAATGTATCAGGAGGCATTAGGGCTGATCCCTTGCTCTTAAAATGTGCTCCAAGGCTTCCAATCAGCTGCTGATTTCACCATGGAAAATAGACAGGAACACCCCTGGCTGATTACCCAGAAGCCACCTCCGCCGATCCCGGATGCTGAACACATCAGACCAGATTTTCCTCTCACCCGAAGTGAGTCTCCAGCTGTCAATGGCGTTACTCCTGCTGATGTGTAAAGCAGGAGTGAGTTAAGAATCACACCCACCTTTCTCATTTCTTTTCATGTGCCCAGCAAGACATTCACATAGTCACTATATAGTCAAAGTTTCCATTCAGGTCACATAGGAGACGAGAGTGGACAATTTAGAGAAGCTTATGAGCTCCAATAATGGAGACCAGGTCAACAGTTTGCTATCTTGAATGGGGTAAAGCGAGGTCAGTAGTAGCTAGATTAGGGGAAGGGAGAAGAGGCACAAGATGCAGATTTTACAAGCATTTATTCTATTAGTTGTTGTGTGCACCAAATACCTGTGAACAGATGCTAGTCAGACAAGTGAGAACGGTCAGGGCTCAAAAAAAAAAAAAAAAAAAAAAAATCAAGATGTTATGTGTCCAAGAGGAACAGCTTTGCTAGCTATAAAAACAGACCACAAGGTAACTGCTGTGAAGGGAATTCTCATTTGTGAGCTAAGCTGTGATTTGAACTCAAGTCTGCAGAGGTAAAAAGTTAATGTATTAAGCTACTTAGCTGCCTACAACTCATTAACAATTCATCCTTGAACACCACAGCAAAATAAGATACAAGGGGGGGAAAAAAGACAGATTGCATTTAAGAATTTAAATCATTTTTATTGCTTTACCTGCCATTAGGACAATCTATAACAAAAGGAATAATAATATATTAGCACATACAGTACATCAGACTTATATAGTCAGATAACAATACAAAAATGGTCCTCTGGTTGACTATAGCTCTCTAGGGCAGTAGACTTCATAAATTTGCTAAAGGTGACCTAGCAAGAGATTACTTCTAAAGCCCTGAATGTTAGCTAAGGCAAACTATGCCAAAATTGTGGTTTCAAACATATTTAAATTGCACACAAAGGTAAAGCTATAACTGTGATTAATATTTAACTCAGACTTAGCTGGTTTATCTTAATCTTGTAGGTAAAACTACAAAAGGGAGTAAACAGCAAGCTAAAAAGATGCAATAGTGAAACTTGATTAGAAAGCCTTATATAAAAAAAAAATGTGCATTTTTTGTGGAGCTCTAACTAGTTTACATAGTATCACAGGGGTAGCCGTGTTAGTCTGAATCTGTAAAAAGCAACAGAGGGTCCTGTGGCACCTTTAAGACTAACAGAGGTATTGAGAGCATAA